TGAGGATGCTGGAGTTTATCAGGCAAAAGCACTGGACAAAAGGTGCTACACACTGAGTCACTGTGCCAGCGTATTCTAAATATAATAGAAATTGTTGAAGAAAATATTGTAGAAGCAAATTTAAGGAGTTTTGTGTTGTTTTGTGAGGCAGAAGGACCGTGGCTATGCCCTGCTTTAAGCAGCCACAACCAACATCAGGCAGACAATTAAACATTTAACACAATTAAGGATTTTTAAAATGTCTGAAAGCATCTACCTCAACTAGTACAACCAGCGGTGGCAGCAAATAACTGTAATTTTTTCTTCATAAATGTCAGGAGCCCCACACACGATGCCAGCGGGATTATGGATCTTTCTTAAAAAACAAAACAAAAAACAGACCATCACTTGGAGGAATCAGAAAACTAGGACAGGTAAAGCTCCAGATAAAAACAATAATACTAATAAATATACCTCTCAAACTAAACTGTCACTATGCCTACTGTGAGGAGCGACAGGGATAGCCTTCGAGGAGGAAGGGCTGACGACTCCAGGGGGGCGACCAACGGCGGCGGAGCAGGTGGCGTAGGAGCCCGAGGCGGAGACGGAGAGCCAAGGTGGAACTGATGGCTCCGGCGAAGGCGGGGATCCGGAAGGCCACGGTGGAGCTGGAGCGACGGAGGACCAAGGTGGAGCCGAAGGGAAGGAGGAACCTGACGGAGGAGGTGCAGCCAGAGGAATGAAGTCCCGAGGTGAAGGATGGTTGACGACAGACCAAGGCGGAGGCGGAGCTGGAGGGACGAGGGTGCCAGTGGACTGATGGGCTACAGCAGAGAGGAGGGAGCTAGGAGCCATGGTGCAGCTGCTGGGTCGACGGGCCGAGATGGAGTCCTGGACTCTGAGGCTGGAGGTGGAGGCATGGGATTCTCCAGCCACGTCGACGATGGAGACTGGCAGACCTGTGAGGCTCACACCGGCTGATGGTGGGTTGAGAGCGAGCAGAGGGGCTGCCAGTCGTCAGCGGTGGAGGAGGCAGGAACGGGC